AGAAAGAATACGTTCCAATATTTTTTCCTTCTATTTTTTCTCTTCCTTTTCCGAATTTTAATGCACTTTAACGTCGAGATTGACGCATCGTTCGATTTTCGATAACATTGTATTACCAATAAGCCAAGAAAATTATTTATTGTCCATCCGTATCATTTAATCAGAGTTTGAAACGAAAAAACGTGTATTTATCTAACGCGTACATCTCGAGAGATTCGTTTTCTCTACGTTCTTTTTTTTTCCTTTTTTTCTCATTTCGAGACTAGAAACTTCCCAGCTTCTTAGGAAAGAAGCGTTTATATAGAAAACGGTTAAACGTACTTTGGCCGATAGAACAAAAGGATCAGGATTCGTAATGCTCGTTTTAACGAGACTAATATTAGCATAATTCGATCTAAAACTATTATTCAACGTCGTGCGAACAGGATGGGGATTGTCGTAAAACATAATTTGGACGATTCCAAGTACCTTGTTCGTAAACTTTTCGAAATAATTATGCAAGGATTCTTCGTTGCCAACGCTTTTTTCTCTCCAGTTTGCGTAACATTTTTATACAATTCCTCTCGATAAGACGAGCGATTCCTTTCTTGGAACGAATTATTGATATAATTCTCGGCGAGGAAATTGCCACGGATAAAGACGCGGTTCAATTCGTTTTTCCGACCATTTAGAGAGGATAGCAGATAATGAGAACGTTGATCAACGACCACGATCATGATTATGGCGAGAGGAGGCGAAATATCGCGCTGTTTTCCAAAATGTGGACAGGATAATTGCCTAATTTCGGATGAAGAAAATTTCTTTCATACGGGAGAAGGCAACGTAGGCAACGTCTCTAGAAAATTATCAGCGCGAGAAGAAAACACCAATTTTTTCCTCCTTTTTATCGCTGTTCAAACGTAAAATTTTCGAAAGCGTTTTCTACCATCTCCTTTCGCTAAAAAAAAACCCGCTCGAAGAATTCAACGAGAAGGATAGAGATATATTATTGCAAAGATATATTATCTCAGCTTCTTCGAATCCATCCTCGAAGGAAGGATCTAACAATAAGAATAGTTCTCGCGGTCTTTCATAAATAATTCAGCAGCGTTGGTAAAAGAAGAATCAGCGACGAGGGAACGAAACCGTCGTCACATTCGTCGACCGTGTTTTCGGTCGAGTCCGACGTAGCGATTATATTTTCACTTCCGCTTTTCGATTTCGATATCGTAACGGCCGACGTCGTCTTCGTAAATAAGAATGACGTAACGCGCTTAAGAGCGGTGTCGCGATACTCGAAGGATTACAAATATATAGAAATAAGAAGAATAAGAATCCGGAAGGATTGGACAGAAAACGAATCCTTCGGGGAGAGACGTAACGCGACGGCGAGGAGGCCGACAAAAGCGATAAAAGGCCTTGGCGAGGCTTGACCGGTGGACCGTTACTTCGCGCCATCCAGGATCGAGCATGGATCGAGCTCCTTATTTCCCTCTTCTCCCAACTTCATCGTTTCTTCTATGTCGCCTCGATTTAACGCGCTTTCCGCGTGCTGGAACACGCGACCTCGCGCGTGACCGGCATCCCACCGTCTCCGAATCGACCATTCCTTACGTACGACGTAAGAAACGCTGCGTGCCGTTCCAACGGAATTTGAATTCGTTCGGGGGCCGATAATCGTCCATCCGATTCCTCCTTCCTCCCCCTCCCCCGTGTCCATCGCATTGATGGACGAGCGTATTTTCATTCGTTCGGGGAAAACGGATCGATCGAGAGGCGAGTAAAATCGTAAAAAAAAAAAAAAATTGCGCTGGAGAGGGGAGGGAACGAAAAGAAGTTTTCCTGGTCGAGTTTCGTAAAACGATGCCCCACGTGTAATTATTTCGTAACCCGGCCGCGTTTATGCCGCACTGCGCAAGCATAAGCTGTTTTCGCCGCCCGTTAACGCGCGTGGAACAGCGCGCGCGCGCCGCTTGTTTCTCGCCGGGAAATTTGCATAACACCGAGCGTGTAAATTAACCGAAAGTTTATTACCGGCGGGCTGTTACGCTGGGGGAGGGAGAGCAACGAGCGCCGCTCGTCACGACGCGAGCCGAGATCCCGTCGTTCTGGAATCGTTTCGCGAAACGCGTTTGCCGCGGACACCGCGGACGATAAATAATCGACTCGGCGAAGGCAGGGTATCGTCGGCTAGTTAACGCGGCCGGTGACTCACGTTTCACCAATATTTAACATTCCGCGGTGATACGAAAGCAGTTATAGCGCACCGGTCACTTCCTACGCGTCTCCGGCCTTAACGTTGCGTTAAAACCATTGTTCCAAATAACCGGCTAATCGTGGATACGAATTTCCGGCTAAAATCCGCGTTGTCCATTCTCTCGAGAAAGCGAGAGAGAGAGAGAGAGAGAGAGGATCAATCATCGCTCGAAATTTCTATCGTAAACGTTTAGATTACGCAAGCGTTGCGAATACGAAGAAAGTTGGCACATCGAATCTTTGAGGTAAAGACTCGCACGTTCCAATCGAATTTTCAATTTTCCAACTCGAAAGCGAGTCGACAATTTTTTTCGATTTCGTCGAAAACCGCGAAACGGGAACGCACAAAGGGGGAGAAAGGAAGGACTAAGAAAGGAAACGATCGCGCGCCACGATCATCTCATTCACTCGACATCTGTAACCCCGCTCACCAACGAAGAGCGACGTCGATTTAAACTGCTCGATTCGAAGCAATTACAACCTGCCTCAACGTCTTCTTCGCTTCCATCCTCGATAAAAATATCGATTGTTCGTCGCCGATGAAAATTCACCACCCACTTTTTCGCTCTTTCGAGTCGAAATCCAAAATGTCCCTTCGATCCATCTTTGGAGAAAAGATGGAGTTTCGAATTTAGTTAACAACAAGCGAAGTAATTGTGATTTCTTCTTTACTCGACTCGTCGAGAATTATGCGAATCGGTCTAGGACAGGAAAATATCTTTTCAGACGGAGAGAAGTTCGCGTTGCTCGTAAGTACCTCGTAACGTATTGTACGAGATCTCCGCGATTCGACGTACAAATTCATGTAAATCAGCAGTGGACGGTGACGCAATGCACAAAACATTATCTTCGAAGATGCGATTAAATATGCAGCGTCGTTGGGTCGTCCATTTAATTACACTCATCCTTGGACGTGTTTAAGTATTTCATAAATCAATCGTTTGATCACGGAATCTTCTCGAGACGCGCCGGAAACGAAACGCGTATCTTGCGATCGATGGATTATTTTCAATCAGTAAATCGACCTTAATTATCCAAACTGTTGCATTATCGTTTCCTCGTCGATCGAATCAATCGTCGTTGCTATCTTTGATTTTTTATCTTTGCACGCGAACAGATATTTCGCGTTGGTGACAATAGTCGAGGAATACGAGGTATTGGCGAAGTCGATCAATGGCGAGAACACGTACGTACACGTGGGGGTTTGACGGGCGTGTTGGGGCCGCGCATCGTACCAATCGTGTGGGACAATGCTTCTCTCCACCATGACCCACTGACACGCAAATAAAGCGATATATTCATAGACGTCGCGATTTTTATCATCTATCATTATCGTCCCGCGGCCAACTTCGCGTGAGCAGGATTGCGCAACGATCTCGTCGCCCATTGCGACCAATATCTTTCAGAATCTTGGACGGGCAACGTCGTATTGTTTATCGAGTTTCGAAACGTGTTTGAGAATTCGACGTATTCCATGCTGGAATATAAAATGTACCGCTATACTTTCACTCATTTCCAATAACATTTTTCTTTTTCCTTTTCTTTTCTTCTTTTTCTCTCGTCTCGCCCATTTTGAAATTTCTGGAACAACGATGGAACGATCACGAATAGGGTTTGTCGCGCGACAAGATTTCGTCATTGATGGAAATATACGACGACGAGGAGAATTTCGTGACACGCCCACGGGGCAAATTTCGTGCGTCATTTTAAAGAATCGTTTCACCAACGGATGGATGATCGAGTGGACGACGTAACGAGAAGATCTCTGGAAGGAAAACAACGATCGAACGTTACCCGGCTCGTCACGGCCTTGCGAATACAGTTGGATCAAATACTTTCGATGCACCGGATATCCGAGGTGCTGCTTTTTACGCACCGGCTTTCTTTCTCCGTCCCAATGCCAATAAACTATAATTTCCCTTGTGAAATACGAATCGTACGTATAATAGGATTTCTACCATTTCGCGATACGATCAACTTTTGACGAATGCGCATGCGCGTATTCTCACGCGATGCGTTCACACAACACCTAGTAAGTTTATTTACTAGCATATATGTCGAGCAACGCGTGGATACGAACGGATAGGACGGCCGTCGATAATTCACGGGTTTTCACTTTGGCCTCGTTTGCACTACGTTCCATCGCGCTATCTACAGCTGCGGGATTTGAATTTAAAGTCATTGTCGCTTCGCGATTGGTATTGACGAAACCTTCGGTATTCATCGTCCTTCGATCATTTCAACGTGCCTGCCGCAATTATATCTTCTTTACCGACCACGTTCCCGACAACGTTTAATGACTCTATAAAACTTGCGAATAACAATGAATCCTTCGAAATCGTGCACTCGCAATGTGTGCCACTCGGGGTATATACGACCAAGCGTTTCAACACGAAAATATAATTGCGAATTCAATGTACTCGAAACTCGTAAAATCGGTCTAACCCTGACACACATTTCTGACCGTTGGAAATTCAAACATTTGCCGAATACGAGCCGCGTCCATCTCGTTATCCTTATCGTCCATCACCGCCCGTTTTCCGCGATCTAATTTCCGAAAGGCGACCCAATCGTCCCGATCGTAACTCCTCGCCATCGCGGAAAAGGAAACCTTTTGTTTGTTTACTTGTTACTTTAAATATCGCGAATGGATTCGTTCCTTAAATCTGTCGAAAAATAAAGCACTCGATAATCGATCGCTACGCTTGTTTGAAAGTTGTACGAGTAAATAACACGAATGTTTTTTTTTTTTTTCTTTTTCACAGATGGAGGGGATCCGTTTACAAGCTAATCTGGCGAGAATTGTTGGCCTACCTGTTCGTCTACTACGTCATCAATTTCACGTATCGATATGCGTTGAACGAGCAGCAGCGGGTGTGAGTACATGAATAGTTCATTTGAATATCTTCTCGCCGTAAAGTTTCCCTCCGTGAAGGCTTAACGCAAGGGAACGTAAATTTGTCGAATAAAATTCGGTAACAAGTCAGAATGTATAAATCTCGGAAGCATCGACAACAAATTGTCTGTTTATTAAAAATCGTTGGAGAGATACGAAATAGAATAGTTTGTTCACAGACGTGTAACGTATAACAATGATAAGATATAAGAAATACGATCGAATTTCATCACGATTCAATACGATCAATTTTGAAAAGGGAGGATTGGATTAACCCAAGATTTTCGTTTTTCAGAATTTCCTCCTGATAAAGGAAAGTCGTTGCTTCATTTTAGAGAATTTTAGATTACGTAATAACAACGTGTTTTCGAGTTTCAAGAAAAATATCTTTCTATTCACGGTTTTATCTCGCGAGAAACGATGGTTACACGGGTGAGTATCGGCTGCCATAACTTTGCGACATCGACCTTGGTCGAGCAACAAAGCTTTCTATACCATATGACCGGGATTATGTTTCATCGGTTATAATATCGGCAAATTTACGACAGCCCCCCAATCCCACTCCCCCCTTCCCACCTCCTTCTTTATCAGCATTATATCGTCTCTTTTGTCCCGCGCACGAATACGTTAAAAACCTCTCTCCTTCTCCCTTTCTTTTCCTTTTATCATCGCGTTTCGCGATTCGTCGTTACCCTTTTACAACGAAGCTTTACGACACAACCACCGATAAGCTCTACGAATGTTGGTCGCGCCAATACGCGAACGGCCATTAATCGGCCGACGATAAAAGTGAATTTGTTTAATTACGACTCGCCTTCGATCGATCAATTTTGACCGAAGGAAGGGAGGGTTGGATCCGACCGATTTTTACCCATTTTTCAACGTCGTCCAACCATTGTCCATTGGAGGAAAAGAAAAAAGAAAATGCGAATCGTAAGAAGCGACATTTTACGCGTCTGTCTTAGATATATTCGACACGGTTAAATCGTGGATATCGTATATAAAATTGTTTCTCCCGTACAAGGCGCGAATTTTGTATAATGCCCCGCGGAATGTGGCGGGACTCGTCCACAGGGTAGGCATTAAAAGACGCATAAAAATGTAACCTGTTATTTACGCCGAGATAAGAAAAGGAAAAAGGAAAGAAGATCCCGTGGTTGGCCGATGTTAAAATGGACCCTCCTTTGGGCCGCTTCGATTCGCATGGTCTAAATTTAGAACCGTAGGGCCGGTTCAGGTTAGGGGACTGCACGGGCCGACCGACCATCATAGGAAGAGCCCGATCGGATGGGAATAAAAACTTGCTCGATCCGTATACTTCGAACCGTAAACCGTATCTCCAACCGTAAATTTTAATCTTTTCAATCTTAGAATTTCTAATATCTACTCATCCCGATATTATTCTCGCTCTCGATATTATAATTACTTTTCACTCCTTTGTAATTTGTAAAATTAAGTTTTCTTTCTCGTATCTTTTTATCTACTTTTTAAATAATATATCTTGCCACTGATTATATCATCTTGATATCTCATCGTTGATGAAAAATTGCAGATGAATAAAAAATTATTTTAAAAGAAACTTTCATTTCTTTTATTCTCGTTCAACGAAACAATTTACGCGTAACTCAACCCAATAAATGAATTACACGATTATTCACCTTCCTCGCCTATCTACTATCTTTGAAGACAAACAAAATCAAAGCGGTAAATCGAGTAAACAAAGGTGCGTTAACCTTAAGATCCTCTAATTGTGAATACGCGCATCTATGTGTGTAATCCGTTAAATTCTTCGAGTTTCTTTTAGCTTATTTAGCGTATAACTATAATACGACTCTAATCACATTTCGCGATAGACGCGCGCGTCGTTGGACGCGAAGCTAAATATAACAGCTGCGCGCGGAGGCAAAGCGCGTAAAAGTGGAACGTGCAAAAGAGCGGGTCCGAGGATCCGAGGATCGGCGACGCCGAACCGCTAACAAATTTTCGCGAGCAGCTGTGAAATTTCGATGGAAATTCCCATTTACCAGGAGTTACGCGAGACGTGGTAGCGGTAGACTCTGGCCGAGCGACGGTATCACCTCAACCTTGCTCCACTTGTTGGAGAGGCGGCGCAAGAATTCCACCACGCGCGTTGCCTAAACAAATATTTAAACGCGATTCGCAAACGCGCGAAAACCTGCCCGCCCGATCCTTTCTTTCTTTCTCCCTCCAACAATCGAGATCCCAGAATTTTCGAGACAGGTGGCGATGCATACACGCGATAAGAGTGGCCGGTGTGGTTTCTGTCTGTTGCAGAATCTTCGAAAAGATCCGATACTACTTCGGCAATTCTAGCGAATCGATACCGATGTCGTTCGTCTTGGGATTTTACGTGAGCCTGGTGGTGAAGCGGTGGTGGGAACAGTACAAGCTACTACCCTGGCCCGACAACTTGGCCCTTTTCATCAGCGCGGCTATTCCTGGTAACGTAAGTATACAAAGCAATCGTTCGAGATCGATTCGATCGGCGAACAGCGATCGGCGCCCGATGCGTCGAATAAATATATCGTAACTTGGGAAGACGGAATTTCCAGTAGCCGACTCGAAAGAAACGCGATAAACGCAGCCTTGCACGGATACCGGTGATCGTTGCGTTTGTCTCATTACGCTAATGAATTGCCGTGACACGTTTCGATGTCGTTAACCTAAGTAGGTGCCAGCTCTTGGAGTCACGCCACACCTAGAAGCGAAAAAAATGCGCGGAATGATCATCCCATAATTGGCAGTCGAGCGAATCTTCTTCTTCTTCTTCTTCTTCTTCTTCTTCTTCTTTTCCTTCTTCGTCTTCCTCTTCTTCTTCTTCTTTCTCTCGATCAGGGTCTAACGGATGATCGGAGACGATAGACTAGGTTTCTCGAGAGGTTGTTCGACCGACCCTTGGCACGCGATTCCAACTTCTCTGGCACACGTGTACGAGCGCGTGAAATTGTCGCCCATTATCGTTACTTTCTCCGATCGCCTGCTCTATACTACCGATAACGAAAGTTACGTTCCTTAGGAACTTTGCTCCCGTACGCGTCCATCGTTCCGCGTATTACTTCATCCTTATCTAATTAAACCAGCCTTATAGCGAACTACCATCGCGAACNCTCGTTACCAAATATACATTTCTTCGGCCAACTAATTTTCGCGAGCGATTCGAGGTCACGATTCTCGAGAATCGACGGTCGATGCGATTCGATCAGAGTTTCGAATTCGTCGGGGAACGATCTTCCAACCGTGTGGTCAATGACACAACGTCGAAGTGAAAGTGCGACGTTCATATCGTAGCAAGAAAGAAAGACGAAGCTGCGCGTTCCGCGCACTTTGCGATCAACAGTGTTACGTCCGTCCTCGTTACTCTTCGTAAAGTTTTTTTCGCGCGCTTGGAACCCGGCTGGAAACTGGCGACCGCGGAACTGGATATCGTAGCGACAGATCGAAGCGTTTCATCGCGCGACGTTTCCCCTCGAGAACAATAGGAGAGCCGCGTAGGGTTGGCGCGATGAATGGGCAAGGTCTCGAGACCACGAAACGGTAGTTTTCTTTACGTACGTGGAAGAGAGCGATGGAAGAGGTGCGCAAAGTATCGGATTTGTGAATGAGCAGCACCGAGTGGGCAGCACGAGCTTCTGCCTTTCATTGAAATCTAATTGGAATTCAGGTCCCGAGGCGAGAAGGATGCCTCGACTCCCACCTTCTCCCTCCCCGTCAGGAGGATCCTTTTCAAGCTGCCAACCCGTGCATTTTTACACGCGCGACGTTAAGTCGCGGAATTCCGAGGAAGAAGGGACCGTCTGCCTTTTGAACGGGCGAAACCCGTTGAGGGGGAGAAAAAAGGTTTCGTCGCCGGAGAAACAAGATCCCTCGAGACGAAAGCTACCGAGCTTTTACCGTCTTTGTTTACCGTTACTCGTTTCGATTTACCGAGAGAAGATTGATCAACCAAGGTAAAAGAAAAAAAAAAAAAGGAAAAAAGGAAAAAAACTCGAGGAGCTCGTTTAGAGTCTACAGCAATCGGATTAACCTTTGAGATTCTTGCGCGAGTTTCAAATACTTTGAGAGATCGATAACGTGGCATCGCTCCGGGCAAATCGTATAGGAAGAATCTATATACGAGACTAATTAATCTGTAATTGTGAGTCGTTAAAAAAAAGAGAAAGAAAGAGAGAGAGAGAGAGATTTTATGGAACGCAACGTAAGCCCATTCTTTTTCACGTTTTTTAAGTAGACGGCGAGAAAAGACTTTGAAAAGTAATGCAAAAAAATAAATTTCTCAACCGCTCGTGTACACGCGTGTATAATAATTCGACGTGTTTATATTTCGTAATTACAGCAACGGTTGAGCGAAGAAAGAGTAATTCGATGGTCGAAAAATGGAAACGATGTCGAAAACACGGCCGCAACAAGGAAAAGACGGTAGGCGCGGGTTTAATTATAACCGAGAAGTAAATCGCGTTTTCTAGCGGGTTTGGGTGGATCGCACGGCTCGGTTCGCCAACTTTCTTCGCACAGATCGCAACGGGTTCGTTCTAAATCAGCACGTGGCGCGCGCCGTACGCCGTTCACCGTCCACGTGTTATTAGCCGGACGAAAATTTTAGTTTCGACAAACTTTCTTCGATCGTTGCGCGCATTATATCGAGCGAACGAGACGTGCCTCGATCCACAAAACGCTTCATCCGAATCTCGTCGTGTTCCACATACGTAACGATTCAATTAACGATTACCGACACGATTACCGCCGGTTTCGACGAACGGTGGATCGAAGCGGCGGAAAACGATCGATCGATTTTACATTTTTTTCCCATTAGAACGAGCCGATTATTTTATCGGTGCGTGGAAATTTTTCGGGAACCGGGAACCGTTCCCTACGATTTCCGACTAAATTGACATTCCGTCGAGCGTGCGCGATCGTTTACCGACGACGCGTGATCGACGTTCGATTACAAAACGGCCACGCGTACGCGATTACAAAATGCGCGCGCGTCGTTTGCCAGAAAACGAAAGGAAAAATAGCCGGCAGGCGCCACCGTGGGTTTTTCTTTCGATCGATATTGGAATCGGTTGGAAACCGACCGACGGTGATTCGCGATCACGGGCCAAAAGAACAAGGGGAAAGTGTGTACAAGACATGGGAAACGTGTCCGGCATTCGTGCGGCCTCGGAAACGAATTTTGTATCGAACACGTATCGATGATACCGATTTCCTTTCATTCTCCGTACTTATTCGTTTGATCGCTGCTTATAAATATTCCATTATCCGCGTAATAGAATGCTGTTCGATGACCTTGGGGGAGACGTGGCGGGACGAGAAACGAAAGAAAACGTTCGTCCTTTTACCCAGAGAGAAGCTTCGATACCGCCGCCTTCGTCTTCCGTTTCTCCCCTACTTTTCCCTCTGCGCGGAGTGCAATTCACCGCCTTAATATACGTACGCGAAACGATTTTGATTCGCGAACGATCGAACGGACAGTTACAAATAATTTTAAAATATTTTCACATTGCAGGACGAAAGAGGCAGACTGATGAGGAGAAACATCGTGAGGTACGCGGTACTCGCGTACGTCATTACGCTGCAAAGGATTTCGTTGCGCGTTAAGAGACGATTCCCCACGCTTCAGCACATCGTAGATGTTGGTCAGTGAGTTATACCGTATATTTTATCCTAGACCACTTTACTCTCTTGCTATCCGACCATTCCAGAGGAAGAAACGCGTTAATATTTTTAAACGCTCTCGTTTTGTTGAATCAGAGTGTTTCAATTATTTTTCGGAATTAAATTTTTCTGTAGCAACGAAAAAAAATAATCGATATCTCTTCTTTCTATTCGGATTGAATTTTTTTTTTTTTTTTTAATATTACATTCTGTCTCATACCAGTGTGTTACGTAACATTTATTCGCGACACGTTGTATCGAATTTGTCATTTCGTTTTCTATGCGATTGATCTTATCCGTTATTCGTTTTTCTAAACGTCCTTTTCATCGATTTGCATCTATATTTCTTATTGCCGAACAAGATTCAAAATTTAACGATGAATCAGTAATTTTCAATTTAAAAAAATTAATTCGTAATAAAGGATTAAGAGTTCAACGCGAAATATAATTTGGAAGCGAACGTACCATTCGATTCGAATCCCTTCTCTGCCCATTATTGTTATTTCGAGGACGTATTAACCAATTAACACACATGCCACTTCCTACGCAATTAAGCACTTTTTATGGTAACAAGGACGATTTAATAACGACAGAAATACGCGAATCCTTTCCAAAATGGAGATTTTCGGCATTCCCCGAGGAATTACAATTAGTCCTTAATAAGTAATTCGTATGGATCCATTGTATGTTAAGCAACGTGATATTTGCATGCTGAAACCGTTATTTAATCGAAATTGAATCATGTGTCATGCATAACCTTCAAACGATTGCCTGACAACATGTAACTGTACGTCTGTGATAGAAATGTTATTTATACATATGTTTCAAGTCGTTACTTTGTCTTTCGACACTTTCTTTACTTAGAGTTTGAAAACCTTGAAGGAATGCATGGATCATTAAATTTACATCATTTCATCCTATCCTCGTTTACGAGAGAGAAAGACGAATAAACGAACGGACGAACGGGCGAACGAACGGACGAACGAACGAACGAACGAACGAACGAACGAATGTACGCATCAAGCATTCGAACATGGCGATTTTTAGATTTTCGGAAACACTTTTCCAATCACACTCGAATTATGCACTCTATAATGAAAATCATATTACTTACTCGTTGTTAATATCCACCATTTTCTGCAAAAGAATTCATTTTTCCATTTTCCTCGACGAACGATCGATGATTTCCCAAGACGAGTGGTTGAAGATCATTTTCCACATATTCTGAAATAACGTTCAATTTATCGTCGAGATGTTGGTGATTCGAAACGATGAGACGATTACGCTTCGAGATAATGTAACTACTGTATCAAAATGAATAGAAATTTTCCTTCTCGAAATTAATTCGACGTTACGATAATTGTAATCCTTAATAATACTTTGCACGATTAAGAGGTATTACGAATTATTATTGAATTAGCTATTGTTCACGATATAAGCGTTTCGATATCAATTTTCTTCGTAAAGATTGTACGTGTATACATACCGCATATTATAAAATAATGTGCTGTCTTCTCTAATTTGTTCAACGTACTATTAACAAACTTAAAAGTTATCGCGAACGCGTTGCTCGAGCACGTACATATACGAAACAAGTCGAAACAAACGTATCGTTTGTTCGATTCGTTGAACAAAAAAAAGTCGCGACAATGTGCATGACGTTCGTACGCCATATTAGTTTGACACCGGTAAAGTTGCGCGCGCAGTGTTCAATTGCTAAAGCGAAGGTTGGAATGGCGGTATTTTTAAAGTCATATCGCACGATTCAAACCAAGATTTTTATTTCAAATTGAAATGGAACGTTCGAAATTGAATTTCAATTTTATAATATAACGTTCCATCTTGTACACCGAAATCGGAAATTAGAATTTTGGTTGAATTTTTTTATTCGAAATTCTAAATCTAAATTTAGAAACGTACGAATTCGAATTAAATTTCTCCAACTCGAGAACGGAGAAAAGAATGGAATCGTCGCGAACGAATAGTGTTCGAAAAAGATCGGACATATTTCGTATTTTTAACAGTTCTCTTCATTTAGAATGCAATTGAAAAAATTGTTCCTAACGATTTTCACAATTACGCTTACGGTATCCGTAGACAAGTAGAAAGAAACCGTTTCTAAGGATGCAAAAGAAAGACTCGAATCCCCGAACGGTTTTTGTGAACCGGTGGCGGATGTTCGCGTCGACTAGAAATAGCACGGATTTTTCAGGCGCCTGTTCCGCGAATCTTCCATGAACATGAGCATTCCGCCGGCTCCCCGTGGCCGGAGAAATAAGTGACAAGAGTGACAGCAAAAACCGATCCTTCCGTGGAATTATCTTTGCGGACACGTTGGTATCACGCACACGAATCGCGAAAGAAACGTGCGGTCGGTCGGTCTGTATCACGGTGAAAGAAGCTCGCGAAGACGATCCAAATCCGTTCTATCCGCCGACTCTGGAAACGAGCTTGCCCGGCCAACAACAGAACGGAGAGCCGATCGTCGCGTGAGATCTCCATTAATAATTCATGTAGCGAGGATGCAACGCATTCTTCAACCTTTCAAAGAGAAAAAACAGAAGACAGAATTTTAAGCGGTTACCGACGCCACTCTAGATGCGTGACATCGAACGTGCCGACTAATGTACAACACCCAGACGTAATTGTGATTTTGCGGCGTTACGACCTTCCGAAGGATTACGCCGATATTTACGATCGCGTAAATAAAACATAGTAACCGGCCGTGATCTTGAGACAGGAGCAAGTTGGAGGACGTTCTCGACTCGATACATTCGCATTTCGGAAATCGCTCCGTTCCATCTCTTTTGCTTCTTTTTTTTTTCGCCGCTACGTAAATACGGATTAATACGAATGCGATGTCTCCTTCTTTTTTTATTCTCGCCAGATAAAACGAAGACGAATTTGGAAAAAAATTTCGCCATTATATAAAATAAACACATTATATAAAGTAAACGACGTTTAACGGGGACACGAAATACTAAGAAGATTATTCGTGATTTTAAAACACACGATATATATATATATATATATATATATGTGCTATTTATAACATTCCTTGCCGAAAGAAATCGAGAGAAAAGAAATGGACTACGTTCGGGTGCAATTCTCGACAATTGCAATGAGTATTCAACGCGTAACTGTACGAAAACGTGCGTACAGCAGATTTTAGAGCGCTTAAATTGCAAACGATTCTATTTACCAGTCGCATCGCAACCTAACCGTTATGGTCGTTGACTTTTGCAATACCTTGCGAAAGACTTTTGCGGATGCAAATCTGTTATTTGATAGGTAGAAAAAAAAAAAAAAAANAAAAAAAAAGAAGAGAAAGAAAAATTCCAAAAGATTCGAGTTTCATCGATCGATCGTAAAAAAAAAAGAAAAATATCTAGGCTCGATATTTCCTATTGAAAAGTAAACCGCGCATTTAATTTAAGTTTAAATTTAGAATGATTATCGTCGGATAAACAAAAGTATCGAAGTGGAGACACGCAAGCGACGTTTAAAAAACGATTTAAAAAAAAAAGAAAAAGAAGAGAAAAGAATCCCAACACAACACAACAGGCGTGGATCGGTTTACATCGATACGGTGACAGGCACGAGAGAGATCAGAATTAACAAGGTGTAGCAATTCCGCGAGAATCGGGATCTGGAAATTGGCGAGGCTCGAGCGAATCTCGAGAGCTGGGTCGCCGGCGTAAATCGAACGGCTCGACTCGCGCCGCCAGGCAATTTTCACGTGCGTCCGGCTAATTTTCAAGAAGCGAGTCGAGACCGCTTAGAAACGCGGAGCGCCGGCGCCAGTTCCTCATCCTTTTCCTTTTCCTTCTTGGCGGGCTACTCGTTTTGCTCGCTGTGCGCGCCAACCGGACCAGTGCCATGTAGTTTACCATCTATTCCCGGACCCGAAGCGACGTTACAACAACCTCCTTCCTTCTCGCTACCCGCTTTGTCGTGCTCGCTTTTTCTTTCCTCCTCCCTGCGCCCATCCTTCTCTCTTTCTTTTTCCCCCTTTCTTTCCTGCAAATATATATATATATGTATATATAAATAATCCTTCGCTAATTATACAGTCCGTTTGAAATTATATCGATACGCGGTGTCATTCGATAAGATAATCACCATCTGTCTCCGGTTTTCCCCAAGGGTCTCTCCCGTCGATCGCGTGTCTTTCGATTCTCTTTCGTTCTTCCTCGTGCCCGCATCCGTGGAACGCTCGTTCCAATCGCCATCACTGCCATTCATTTTCACCGTTACAGTGGCGCCTCTCGTACCTTCTCTAAACCGTTCTCGATTTATCGCCCATGCGTCGTTAACCCCACCGTCCGATCGTTTAACGATCGTCGCGTCGTGCCAATTTTCGAAACGTTTTCTTATACAACTCGGCATTACGCGATATTAGCTTCGCGCGACACGCGATCCAAGCGAATAATCGTAAGCCCGATTTTATCCTCGAAACTGGCGATATCATCGATCGAAATCTACTTATTACGGGTATGCAAATGACACGGTTGGTTAAAACCAGGCAAAAAATAGAAGTTTAAATATAGACGGACATAACGAAGGCCTTAATCTATCTTTGGCCACGAATGGTAATTGGCTAGACCGTGTACATCGAGCTTCGCGATAGACGCCTCGAGGATTTGCGGTGGTGGAGCGCGAGGAAACCATCACCGTCGCCATCATCATCATCATCATCATCATCATCATCATCGTTATCCTCAAGCTCGGCGTCATCATCATCTCGGCCACATCCACGTCGGCCACGATGGGTCGAGCAAGAAACTCGAAAACCCGTTTCCTCCTCGTCTCTTCCACTTCTTCATCGTCTCCACTCACTGTCTCCGTATCGATCCCGCTCCTTATCCATCCTCTCCTCGGCCGACCGTAATACGCCGCACGCGCTACCTATATTTAGCACGAATTATTGTTCCGACCAGAATTTCTCCTCTATTATGTCGACCGCTATCGGCGCCTGCTC